AAAATTAATTTATTTTTTGAGAATTTCTTACATGAATATTGTATTTCCATTATTTCTACCTCTCCCCAGTCCTTCTGTAACTCCTTCCATGTCCCCCAGTCCCTCACAATTTCCTGCCCTTCTCTTTGATTATTGTTGCATATGCATATGAATAGTTATACACACATATATATATATATATACATACAATATACGTAGCTATATATTTCACTGAGTCCTTTTAGTGGTACTCATATGTACATGTGTTTAGGTTGCTCAGGGGTTTAGATTATATCCCAGGGAGTTAGTCCCTGAAAAAAAAACGATTCTTCCTCCTTCAGCATGCATAAAGAGCCTGTAGCTTGTCATCTTGAGGTGGGAACCCATGAAATTTCAGATGAAGGAGTCCTAAAAATTCAATCACGATGTCCCAGCAAAAAACAAAACAAAACAAAACAAAAACAAAAGCAAAAAAACACATAAGACATTGATTTCCTAAGTCAGTAACCTCCAAGTACCAACACATTTAGGGACTATATGGTGTATCAGAGACAATTACAGAAGCATTTTCTTTTCTGTTTTACACTATTCAGGGTTATTGTCTTTCTTTTTTTCTACCTGCATCATCTAGTAGGTACTCTCAGGCTTCTCAAGCTACTTTTATGAAAGAACAGTCACAGATTTTTGCTAAGTAGACAGTGCTATGTCTTTTAACTGAAACATCCAAATGCTGACTCAAATTAAGAATTTTTAAATCTCTGCCATACCCACATGGAATAACCACTGTTCTGCTTCTGAGTAAACGGTCTTTCACATTAACACCTGATTTCTGACAGCAAAGTGTCTTGCTTGTTCGTGTACTTTCTAATGTGGCATTGGGGCCCTTTGGTTTCACTGAAAGTTCACAGTTTCTCATTTTCCTTTGTGAACCTTTTGTGGCTCTTTTTGGATGTTCACATCTCCTTTCACATGTGGCTAGGACTTCTCACCGGATTTTTCTAACTTCACCGTACCTCCTTTGCTTATGAGTTAATGTCTGATTTTAGGACATCTACTTCCGAAGATTTTACTTGTTGGGTACCTGGTGCCTTGCAGATATTTCTTTCAGGCAGATTTAGGATAGCCAATCTTCCCCCAGGTCACACTTTACAAGGGAACCATCTGTTGTCCTGCTCCATCTAACTCTGGAGATATGGAATTTTCCTGAAATGGGTGATGCCTACAAGTCACTCAGGCTACCTGGCATCTCCTCAGTGAATTCCTTTGGCTGTCACTGTTGTTGACCTTGGCTTCATGTTGTCAAATTTGCATGGTGAAGCTATCATAAATAAGTTTCCAGTAACATAACTGGTAGACATAACTGCCACCTCAGTAGCTCACTTTTAAAATGTGTTCTTAGTAGAAATGGGGGAAATATAGAATGACAGAGAGTCATAGTCTAAAAAGGTCTAAAAAAAAAAACCTCATGAATTAAGGTAGTCCAACTCAAAATATGCACTGTGAGCCTACTCTGTAAAAGAGACATAGTACTAATTCTTGTAATTTATATAATATAAAACAATTGTCTGAAGAAGTTACAGTTCAATAGAATGTATGAGACAATGTAGTAAAATAAATACAATGAAACAAGTTTTATAATTTTCAGACTCATTTAAATATTTTTTAAATATAACATTCTTTTTTAAAAAAGTGCATTAGACATGGTCCCCTCCTGTGAACCTGGAGCTGAGGTTGAGTAGAAACAGTCACTGACAATTGATTTTAAGACTTTCACTTTGCAAATTATTTGATTTCTTCTACAAAAAAGATGGGCTCGCCACCTTTACTTGTTGAGGTAGAAGCTTCTAACCTTTGACCTGAATAAAATGCTTTTTCTAAAAAGTTTCTGCACAAAGTGTTCTCTTATTGATTCTTCAGATGTCTTAATCAATAGCATAAATCCTTCATACCTAATTTAAGCACTCTCCTTATAATTGCTTTCTACTTTTTAAGCTTCTTTAAAAATTTGTCTCAAATGTATCTGTTTTTACCTGTGGTTCTAATTTTGGTTTCCCTGCATGCAACTTCCTCAACAGTATAACTCTGCTCCAATCAAGAGATGCTATACTCTGAAAGACAGGTGACATTGTGTGGTGGTGATTTCTGTTTTATATATGATGGTCAGCTCTTGTTTAATATCTTTTTACTGCTTCTAAAGAATTTCAAAGAAAGACGATAGTATCAAATTATCTAATTCATAAATGTATACACAAAGTGTTCTTTTTGAAAAAAAAGACTTCTAAACTTTTTAGAGTTTAAGATCTGGCTTAATGATATAAGTAGAAATGTAAACTTCCAAGAATTGTACTGGAATAATGTACAAAGCCTTTAATGAGGTTTACAGGATCTTGTATAATAGGACATTATTTTATGGGCAAAGGAAACCATCACCTCTTTTCCTCAGTATCTTCACTTATGTCAAGTTGCTGGGGTTGTCGGGATGATGACAGCTAGACTTGAAAAGGATATACAGTGGGAAGACCACAGTGGGCTGGGGTCAATTGTGTCAAGAGTCAAAGAAACGCATAAGCAGGTACTCTTTGTATTATAGGCAGAGGTGCCTTCAAAAGTTCTGAACAAGGATGTGACATGACCATATCTTTGGCTGGCTGAAAAAAGAGAGAAAGACATTTCAGTGAAAGGTTGGAAATAAAGAAGACAGTAAGCAGGCTGCTAGAATGAGTTCAGTCACGTATCATAGATTGTCTAGTAGACTGCATTTGCCTAGAGTTAAAATATGTTAGACACTCATTAGTTTATTGTTAGGTCAAGAGCATTTGGAGACAACTGCAGATGTTTGTCACTGTCTATGTTTTGTCTGCTAATAACAGTCAATGACAATCCAATATATGCCAAAGATTTCAGTACTAATTCTGAATGTTTTTGCTTTTATCCATCCCCTCTTGATATTACATGGTCCAAATTTCATGGTCAGAGAACTTGAACAATGAAAAAAGTTTGGAGCTTGGGAATTTGAGAGCTTAAAACATAATAGCTACTGGAAGTTAACCTAAAAGCTGGTAAGTTTCACAATGAGTTTTCCCTTCTAAGGAATATTTATGGTTTTTCAATTAGGGGTAAAATAAATCACAAAACCTGGATGATATGAATGAAGAATGTTATTAATAATGGATATAGCATCTGAGGGGTTAAAAGGTGGCCGGCCTTCAGTGGGCATAGATTCCTTTTTAACTTCTTAGTAGAAAATTATCTTTTATTCAGCTTCTTGAAATAATCACCCCAAAGAATATTGAGAAGAGGGTTTAAGGAAGAAGCATGCAATATGTTGGAGCAGACAACGCTGTGACTGAATCACAAAGCCTACGGAGCTCTTTATTTCAATTGGAAAGGAAGGCTTTAGAGAGCCTCATGTCAAACGGGCTCAGTTAAGCACTGTGAAGCCCCAGATCTTCTGGCTCTCAACACTTCAAGCTCGTGGAAATGGAATTAGAAAGCTCCTGGCTTCGTATTTATGCTCGAGATCATTGAAATCCAATCTCCCAAGAATAAAGAGATTTAGATTCCAGGGTTTAGAAAGACTAGGATGCATGTGTGCGAAGTATTAGCTTTTAGTTGGCAAGATACTGATTTTTGATGAGAGAAAACCAAAATTGTTTCAAATTATATGTCACAGACCTCAATTGCCCCGCAGAGCTGTTTTCAGCTGGGTGAATCGTCTTCTTCCTTGATTCCTGTTTATACTCCCAATCCAGCTAGGGAAAATGAAACGGATCCTCTTCAGCGTCCTCTCCTCAGCTCTTGTGAACTCAGTGGTTTGTTCATATAGTGCACTAACACAAAGCAAGCCAGTCTTTCTGCTGGAAAATTCCTAAGCAAGCCCCCATCTCAACTCTGTTGTACCTCAGAACCCACGGGCATTTTCAAGGAGCGTGGGTTTTACAACGGGCAGCTTGAATGCAGCTGTGTCTTTTCCAATCTACCGCCAAGAGACAAAATGCAACATGAGATTTTTAGACATTCCAAGGCCCATCTGCCATGTAACCCACTTATCTTTGTGGCTGTGAGTTCTTTATTGATCCAAAATGGTAAGGGGGGGGGGGGGCTAGGAAACAAAAGGGGAAAATGCAGAGGGAGAGAAAAGCCATAAATCCATTCTTTTGTTGCTCCTCCAGCAGCATCTGTGAGCAATTGTCACAATTACTAGTCAAACTGTATTTGACTTTTTGCCAACATGAATTTTCCAAAAACCCAATGTAAACAAACTCTGCAAGTACTTCCTCATTTGCCAAGCCAGTAATTATTTACTTTGTTTGGGCCTAGCATTAATGTCAGTTCAGCTTTACAGCCTGTAATGTGTTTGTTAATGAAACGGTGAGGTCTAAAGCTGCATATTAACCTTGCCACCCTTCAATTTTGAGCTCAATAAAGTTGCACCATGGTTTTGTAAACTAGTGTTGGGGGACAGGCAAATGATTAATTATATTTTTCCCTTTTCCTTTATCTGAGCAAATTGTTAATCTTTAAACCTGCCTTGCATTTTAAAGTTAACAAACTGAAATCCAGCCTCTCACAGATATGATATCATGTAGTCAAGCTGCCCTGGCTGTTTGGATGCCGGGTTTGGAAGTTTCCAACTGCGGAGCTTGCACTGATGTTCAGTAACCTTGCATCCTCTGTGTGCTTCCAGGTAGGACAGAAAACACCTCAGGGAATCAGGGAGCATTTGTTGGTAGGGAAGTGATAGGAATAATGGTTGGGATCTAGAATTTACTTTGTGGAAACTGAATGAATGTTAGGTAGCTTGAGGATGGATGAAAAATTCAGCTAGAAGAGACAATTCCTGTCCAGAGTAGAGAGGCCCAAAGGGTGGGAGAAGGAAACTGACAGGCCTAAGTTTGTAATTATTTTCTCCAGGCAGTGCAATTTGCGGTGGTCTCTAGTCTGTGTACTAACTACAGCCAGGTCAAAGTCCAGTACTCAATGAAATTAGATTTGGATGAATAAGAGGGAATCAAGGACAAATAGGCAAAGTAGTTCTTGATAAGGGTATGTCAGTGAGACAAAAAAAGAGATATGAGGTCACAGGTGAAGTCACTTTTGTTTGGGTGGGCAGAAGAGGCTTCTCAGCAAGGGGACATGTGAGCTGAGCCCTCAATTGTATGCAGAGTCCCTATAAGAGTTATGGGACCAAGTGTTTCAGGAAGAGGGACGGACTCCTTGCTGTGCATCAAGAGGAGGGAAGTCTGTGCTGGTATACGGAATGACCCTGGAGGTTAGGTAGGTTCGTGTGAGTAGGGCCACTAGGAAGTGGGTAAGCATGTGGGGGGGGGGATATGAACTTGTGTATTCCCTAAACCACGTTTGCCTGTGAAAGGGCAGCAGTGATGGGGCATTAGAACCACACCTTCTATGAACAAGAATTCCTCTGAGGATTATTGGGGCCATTTTGAGGTCTTGATTTGTTTGGGGTGGGAAGGGAAAGTACTTGGCCAATTCTAGAAAAAATTCCCTGGAAAACATTTCTTTTCATAAATATCTTCATGACTATATCTTTTCTCCTTCTTGGGGTATTTGAAAGCTTGAAAGTCTTGTCTAGAAATTTGACTTACAGATGAAATTTCGTTCTCAGCTGTAGAACTGTGGCTGTCTGATTTACCTGATGTGGAAAGTGACTCCAGATGGCAGAATCCTTTTCACCTAGTGCAAAGATATAATGTCTCAGGATCTTCTAGGATTATCTTCTCCCTTATCTCCAGGGAAGGTTTGAGTAAATCCCCCAAAGGGATAATTTTGTTTAACATCAGAAAGGATGGTTGTGTTTGATTTTGTAGGGAGCTCAGAATAGTCATTTTATGCAAAAATCAATATGAATTATGGAAAGAACCTAGCATTTTAGTTACACAGTGTAAGGATTTTATAGTTAGCTACAGTGAGGAAGGAAACTACAGAAGGCAATTTCAAGAAATCTTTCAGGAATCCTTTTTCTGGGGAAACACTTTACACTTAACCATAGAAGTTGATGAAAAAAATGAACAAATTGGACATTCTCAAAATAAATGGTGAGAAAGGAAATGTAAAGAATCTTATGAAAAACGTCAATTCTTTATGAAAAATCATATTTTAACTTTCTTGTATGCCCAGAGTCCTTCATTCCCATCTTGTGGATTTTATTTAACATATTTATTTTGAGGTAATCTTAGCTTATGAGCTAAAATTTTCAACTTGTCATACCAAAAATATTTTTGAAACAACAATTCTCCAACCGTGGTATACATGAATCCTGAGCAGAGCCCACATGGTGGCTAATTAGATTGAGCTCCGAGCTTGAAGACGAAGGACAGAAACGCACGCCCCAGAGAAGCATTTGACAGCCTTAGCCTTATCTGTGGATGTTTTACAGCAGGCGTGGAAGGAGTTTTTGTTTACAGTGATTTGTGTTATCTGCAGGGACATTTTATTTGAACTGGTATCTTGTATCCATGCCAGAACATCCACGTGGAAGGGCATACTTCTCTCCTGCTTTCGTTAAAGCCTGATACTAAAGCTGTAATGCCTGTTCCCAGGCTCTGCTGGCATGGAGGGGGGCATTTCTGGTGCAGGCACACAGGCTACTGAGGGAGACAAGGCCAAGATGTGGGGGTGATGTCACAGCTGTGCCCTTCACGGGGCCAGACACAACACTCTCAGGCTCCTCTGTAGGGATATGAAACTTCAGGAACTTAAAATCTCTGGATTTGGGAGTGATCATAATCCAACTTCCCCACTGCTTTTACTTCTTGAGCAAATCCTGAAAATCCTAAGTGCTAGCTGAGTGCTTAGAATCAACTTTGTGACAGTGATCACTGGTCCATATAGAAAACTCTTTCATACTGTTTGTGACTTTGAGCTTAGACAGCAGCCATATGGAGGGGTGAGGAAGGCTTCCATGTTACTGAGCCTGTGAGCCACAGGTTTCCACGCATAAAAATTAACCAGGCCATCCAGAGGCATGGTAGTAATGCTCAGGGTATTTTCACTACTTTCTTGTTCAGTCTTCAAAGCTTGACCCTCCTTCTGCTTGCCTCTAACCTCTGTTTCCAGAAAGTTCTCTTCTACGTCTGTGATGACAATCAAAGTTGAAAGTAAATTCAGTGGACTTGTAAAGCCAAATGAGCAATGCGTTAAAGTTCTTTTTAAAATTTACTATATGCTGGTGAGTATAAATTAAAAACATATTTTAATCTATTTTAATGCTTCCCATGTCTGCAAAGTTAGGAATATGGGAAAAAGAAAGTTTCAAAATGTATGAAAAGGAAAAAAAACATAGTGAAAATTAAGATCTATTTAAGAAAAATGTGTCCTAGAAGCTAATGTGTCTAATATGAAAGAAGTAGAGATGATGGGAAGAAGAATTGGGCTGGGGAAATGGTTCAGTGAGTCTGTTAGGTACTTTGCTGTTGCACCGAAGCGACTTACAGAAGAGTTCCAGAGGATAAGAGTCATGGTGAGGGAGTAATGGTAGGGGAGGCCTGGAGGGGGAGGCATGGTAAGTGGCAGCTGGAGCAGAAAGCTGAATGCTCACACCTCCAAACATGTGAAGGAAGTAAAGGCAGCAAAACTGGAAGTGGGGTCAGGCTATGAACTCTCAAAGTGACGTGCTTTCTCCATTCCTCATAAAAGTTCCATGACCTCCCCAAACAGCACCACCAACTGACCACACGCTCAAATACTTGACCCTATGGAAGACATTTCTCATTCAAATCACCACAGTGAGTAAAGTGCTTGGCAAACAAGCATGAGGACCTAAGTTCATTCAGAAAAGCTGAACGTGGGACCATGCATCTATAATCCTTGACTGAGTCAGAGACAGGAGGATCCCAGCAGCTCACTGGCCAACTTCTCTAACTCTCCATTTAGTGGGAAATTCTATCTCCAAAAAGGTGAAAGGTGGTAGAAGATGGCACCCAACACTGACCTCAGGACTCATGAAAGTATATGAACGTATATGTGTATGTGTACCTGCACACATACACACATACACAATTATGTTCCTGTACATACATCATGCATACATAGACACAACACACAAATTAGACAGGCTCTGCTCATGGGTCCTCTTCCATCAGTCATGTTTACATGTGCACACACAGGAACATATACACAGAAGATTGCATCTGGGAAATGATGACCTTGCTGTGTATTGGCAATCTTTTGGAAAAATTATGAAAGCAAAAACATATTTACAATATCTGATCCAGAGCGTAATAGATTTTTCTGCCCAGTATGGAGTAGTGGAGAATAGGAGAATTCTATTCTGCTTTTGAAACAAACTATAAGAACTTTGTGGGATTAAAAAAAGCTTAGCTTATGCATCTTTAACCATCCACTTTTCAAAATAAGCTTTAATTGTGGATGTCAGTAAGCTGTAACATTCCTCTCAGTCCTACCAGTTCTGACTTTCTAACACAGAGGGAGACCAAGAAAGCAATACGTCAGCAAATGTCATCATCGGTACTTCGTGATTCTCATGGTCTTTCTGTAGGTTCTGGAATAAAGAACCTAGTTGTTTTAGGTACTGATGATTCAGTGTTCTTAATAAAAATCTCTTCACATCTGTAGTCCCAGCACTCGGGAGGCAGAGGCAGGAGGATCTCTGTGAGTTCAAGGCCAGCTTGGTCTATGTAGTGAGTTCTAGGCCAGCTGGTGCTACAGGGAGACCCTGTTTCAAAAAGACAAAAAAAAAAAAAAAAAAAAAAAAAACTCTTCTGATAAATTCATCTCTGCTAAAAGGTATGAGAAATGCCTTGCACTCTCAAAATACCAGCTCTAAATGATAGGCTAAGTATTAGTTTTAGCTCACTTCTTGCCTGTGTTTACTTCAATGCACATTATGACTCCTCCATGTATGTATGGTCCTTTGATTGTAAAAACCAACAGACCAAATTCAGTCTGTCAGATTAATTACCTTATACATTTCCTACGCAGGATCATTGTTTTGCTTTTACCAACAACATGACAGTGGGATCCTCAAGGACAAGGACTGGGTTATATTATTCTCTACAGCTCCAGTAGTTAACAGTGCTGAAACACAGGAAGGCTTTGAACAGATAGGACCCATAACCAAGACCAGGAAGGCCAGTCATGAAGCTAGTACACAATGCGATCTTGAAAATAAAGCATATCTGTGAAATACAAGCATATATTTTCAGTTTCTGAGAAGATTCATCCTGGATAATAGGATCCACCAGACAGAATCCAAGAATGAGTTGGTATTTATTGAGCTCTTAATTTGACTTAGCCTATGGATCAGGTAGGTTTAATATACAATGTCATTAAATATTCCTAATCATAGAAAAAAGACCAAACAAAATGCAGAGATAGTGAAATACAGACCCATGGGAATAGGAATGTTTTCTGTTTCTGACTCTGTACCTGATTTGTGTCTCTGGTACCTAGAATTTACGGAGAATTAAAAGTCTTATACTTTGGGCTTGAGGGGAACTAGGAATGAGTAAGACAAGGTCTTTATCTGTAGTAATCTGTTCTATATCGCTGGAATGAAGAACCAAAGGCTAGCAAACTGTGGTGGTTTGAATGAAAATGTCCCCCATAGGCTCCAAGTTTTTGGACATTTTGTTTCCAGATGATGGCGCTGTTTTGGGAGGTTTTAGAAGTTGTGGCTATCCTGGAGGAAGCACGTCACTGGGGGTGGGCTTACAGAGTTCTTGAGCCTTGCCAGATCTCCAGTTGCACTCTTGTTTCCTGTGCCTGCGAGATGATGTGACAGCTTAGCTTCTGCTGCTCCTGCTCCAGCCACCTCCGGCCACCATGCCTCCCTGCCATGACGGACTGTAATTCCCCTGGAACCGTAAGCTCAAATAAACTCTTCTATAAGTTGCTTTGGTCAGTGTTTCTATCACAGCAACAGAAAAATGACTAATACACAAACTTAAGCAGAAAACATGTTTACTTAACTCACAGCATTAGAGGCTGCAAGTGTCCAAACAGCTTAGCACAGGCTTGGTGAATATACTCTGCCCCTTGCATGCATCAGGCAGAGAGGGTAGAAATGCTAGAAGCATAAGTGCTGGGAAGAGGTCACTTCACCAAAGAAGAATCCAGAAAAAGACTGGGGTCACACAAGCCCTTTGGAGAACCTGCTCCCTATTGACCTGAGGACCTCACTGGGTTCCACCTGTTAAAGGTCCACCTCCCAACATCACTACACTGAGGATGGGCTAACAACTGAACCACTGGGGGACCAACAACAAACAGAGCATAGCACTACCCTGAATGTCTAAAATTAGCTCGTTTCACTTATCTAGTATTCAGGTGATACAGAGGTTTTATCAGATTATTTGGAAGTAAGCTAGACCACAATGGACAGAGAGTGAACATAATTATGGAGACAAGAAGAGGGTTCTGCATGTACTTCCAAGAGGCTTGAAGAAAATAACATGGGAGCAATCAGAATTGAAGATTTTTCTTCCTCCTTACTTCTTTTTGCAAGAAGGAAATTGAATCGTAACCTGTAAACTGAGAATAAAGGAATGTCAGAATTACATAAAAACACAATTAGGACAGAAGACAGGTAGAAGAAACAAAAAGATGAGATCACTGCTGTGAAATTCTGACAATGTTTTTCTTTAAGCAAATTCAACACCACTTTGTATAACTATTGATGCTTCAAGGGAGTTTCAGTGGAAGGCTTTGCTTAGCATTTTAATCCAGCACTTTAAAATTATAATTTATTATTATTTCACTCACTTATCTGAGAAAGTAAATATATTAATCATTTATTGTCATGAATTTTTGTTATTGATAAAATATGTTTTACTGTAGAAAACTTGGAATAGATTAGCTAAAGAATTCTGTACTTGTAATTAATTTTAAGTATGTTCACTGTATATCTATTGTAGATATTAATTTATTTGGTGTGTGTGTGTGTGTGTGTGTGTGTGTGTGTGTGTGTGTGTGTTGTGTACATATGGAGACAAAAGGACAACTTTCAAGAATCAGTTCTCCTTGTCACTGTGGGAGTCCTGGGGATCGAAATCAAGTTATCAAGCATGGTGACTAGTGTCTTTATTGCTTGAAACATCTTGCAAGGTCCTAAAAGCTGCCTCCTAAACCAATGCTTTATTGTGGGTGTGTGCTTGAGAAAGAGAGGGAGAGAGAGAGAGAGAGAGAGAGAGAGAGAGAGAGAGAGAGAGAGAGAGAGACCCATAGAGGCCACAGGTTGACGTAAGGTATCTTCTTCAAACACTCTTTACCTTATTTTTTTGAGACAGGGTCTCAATGAACCTGGCACTCACTTATTTGTCTAGGCTGGTTGATCCTCCTGACTGTATCTCCAGTACTGGGATTACAGGTGTGTACAGTTGTGACCAGCATTTTTATATGTGTTCAAGGGGATCACTCTGGTCCTCATGCTTCAGTGGGAAGCACTTTACTGACTGAACCTTTCCTTAACCCTAAAATTATTATTTATGAACAGTATTTCTTTTTATGCCATTTCATAATTCTGTCTTATCTTTTTAATGGAGGAAGATAAGTTTTATGGATTAATTATAGTTTATTGAATAATACCTTGCTATTAGCTATCCTGGTGTTTTTAGATTTTATATTATAAGAAATCATCTAAACCTACCCTTAAAATGCTAGAAATGAGGTTCTGGAATGGAAGGTTCACCATTTTGTGTGGCTTTCGTGGTGTGTTCCTGACTGGCTTCCTTAGACCTTGTACTGATGCACTTCATTAGCAGTGGAAGGGTAGGCTGATTGTCACCCATGCCCTGGCAAATATTAGGGACTCACATTTTGAAAATCCTTTCCAATATAAAAATTTATTCCTAAATATTGCTTTACGATCCTACTACTTTGAACATTTATGGCAGTAAAGTTAAACCTTCTATTCTTTCTTCTCTGTTCTGTTGACTGTGTATGTGATGAGTGCTTGATGCATCCTGTACCGGACATAACCTGCTCAGGATGTTGTAAGGGCTTCTGTAATGTTAGATATTGAAATATGGGCCATTTATGACATGGTTATATCCTGCAAACACTTTCATTTTTGTCATTTGCAACTTACTTTATAATGACTTCAGTCACGCATAAGGGTCAATGATGAATGAAATCTTTTTTCCTTAAATTCTGTACCTTTTCTGTGGGACTAATAACCATATAAATATTCAACTAATATATTTATTGTTTCACTTTTTATTGTTGAATCTCTAAAATCCCATGAATTAATTACAGTATTTGCAGTACGGTGTTAGTATGAACTTTATTTTTACGTTTGGCCAATTGACAATATGCCAGCTTTTGAAAACATAATTCTTTTCTTCACCTATTTAAGATCTGGTTTTTATTATATTCTGTTTTTATCAATAGATTGTGTCTAAATTATTAATTATTGTGTCTACTATTTCTCACAACAATATTACATAGCTTATTTATTATAGACTCATCGTGCCATGTAGAGATTTCTCTTCCAAAGTTTCAAAAACTTTGGAAATTTTTAATATATTCATTATATTGACTGTCTCATATGTGTCTTGATCACCATATCAATGTAGTGGAATACTGTGGGAATGAATGACTTCTGGACAAATGACTTTTACCTAACCTTGCAACCAAAATGTTAACCTTAGGTTTGAGATCATTTAACACTAGCTCAGCTTGTTAATAAAATGAATAATCTTAGTAGGTCTCGAGCTCCTCTCATAACCTAAACATATAGCTTTAATCCCTTATGACCCTACCTTCCACTGACAGAAAAATTTGTGTGTGTGTGTGTGTGTGTGTGTTGTGCATATCAAGAACTGCAAGGAGTGACTATTCATTGAAAGTAACAAGAATTATCCCATTTGTGTTGCAAACAATAGGTGAGGTTAATTGATAATATCTGTGCTTGTGTGTGCTGTTCCAGGTCAGTAGGAGCCAGAAAATGCAAATTCCCTGATAAAACAAATTGTTCCACTTTTCTTTCCCCATTTCATGCTGGATATACTGTTTCAATTAAAAAAGAGCAAGACCTTTGTTTGAGAGCAGAGTTACATGAGAGACCTGGTACAACAGGTTCTCAGAGGAGTTTGGGTTCAAGAGTCAGGCTGTGATTACCGAAGTGTTGCTTTAACATGGCGCTGAAAAACACCATAGAATACTACTCAGCAGTAAAAAGGAATAAGCTACCTGCACAAGCCACATCACAGGTGGCTCTCCAGAACATTCTGAAAAGTAGAAGAGCCAGATACAGAATAAAGCTGATTTGGGGTGATGGCTGTACCAGCCCTGAGAAGTATTAAAGGTTTATTGCATCCCACTTTAAATGAACAAATTTTATGGCACATGAAATATACTTCAGTAAAGTTGTTATTAAATGAAAATTAAAGGAACATTTCTCTACATTTTGTTTGGAATTGTGTCATGTACTAGTTTCAGAATTAACCTCTGATGGTCTTATATTTTCTCTTTTAAAGCATGATATTTATTTCCCAGGAAATTATAATATTATTTTTCCTACAACTCTAACCACTTTTGTATTAATGCCTTAGATTAATATAATTTTTCATTGTTTCATTTTGAGATGCTTGCTGTTGTTGGTGAGTTTCTTCTATAAAATAAAATAATTGGTTATTGATTATACAAATAGGATGCTCTTAGGTTTCTTTGTATTCTCTTTAAAATAGCTCTGCTCATGAAATCTCTTATTAGTTCTAACCTTGTAGAATTCATGGAGAAGTGTGAGTTACATTAGCAATTTGACTGACCTCTGGCCCAAGGAACTCAGGATGACAGGTTATGGATTTACCACAAGTTGAATAATGCCATTGTGTGCTTCCCTCTCCAGAGTTGTTAAGTAGAGGTCACTGGAACCTGGAAACCTATCAACATTTACTTTGTCAATTTTGTTTAAATTTAGAATATTTACTATGGATATTAGATCTTAAACCTTTGACCTACTAACCTGAAAATAGAGTTTTAGAGTAGAGATTTTTATAACAGCATACTTAGAAAATTAGCTATCTAATGCACAGCAGTCATTAGCCTTTCATTGAATTGGAGCATATGTCAAGAGATCATAATCAGAGTCTTGGCCATCAGGTCAATTAACAAACCATTTAGCTAGGCATGGAATGATTAGCACAGGAATAATCTATCCTGTTGCAGATTATTGGCAGGAGACAGTTATCTAATGTCTACACAATTCAGAAAATATTTAGCAAGTTTTTATACTGCTAGGAAATAAAGATGATAGTTGCTTACAATTCAGGAAGCATATTTTGCACTTAGAGACATTTGTTTGTAGTAGTGTGTATTGTAAGTAACAGATCAAGGAACATGGAAAAAGTTAGAAAGGAAAATGGAATACATTCACAAATAAAGAAGGAAGAGATAGAGATAAGGAGATTGGGGTGTGTGTCCTAGAATTGACATAAATATGTGAAGTAGTGACATTAAAAATACAAAAAAATTGGTGAAGCTTCTTGTATTGTAGATTTCCTGTGGAAAAGTTAGGTGCAACAAGGTCAAAATGGCAAACTTAGCTCAGCACTTCTGTCATAGCTAATATATTTTTAGAAAAATTTCTATGATTTAAGTTGTAAGTCTATCTTATTATAAATTATGTTAGCAGCCCTTGATGTGCGTATTTCTGTATTTTTCAAGGACCCAAGAAAAAACAAACACAATAAATCTGGAATATCTGTGCATGGAAAGTATTTATTAAAAGGATATTGTAACACGCTGATTCAGTTTGTTTGGGAATATAGTAGTTTTGACTGGGGATATGGCTCAATGAGCATGCACTTACACACAAAGCCTGAGGAGCTGAGTTCAAATCTTCAGTACCCAGGTAAGTGCTAATAGAGCACATGGTGATTGTCTGTAATCTCAGTACCTAGACTGTGGAGACTGGGAAGCCTCAGAGCAATCTGGGTAGATAAACTAGCTGAATCAACGAGCTCCATGTTCAAGTGAGAGACCCTATCTCAATACGTAGGTACAGAACAACTGAGCAAGACCCTTGGATCATACACACACACACACACACACACACACACACACACACACACAAGACACAACAAGACATGTAATATCTTCCACTGCCTTGTAACTCCTGTGTATGGTAATGGAAGCAGACACCTTAGAAAGCCACTGGTTCTCCCTGAGCAGCTCCCATTTTATGTCAATTGCAAAGTGCCTCCCTGGGTATTAGAACTATCCCTCTGGCCAGCTTTATGATGCTTAGTGTTTGTCACTTCCTTTTTGGCACAAAGAGCACATTAAATTTTAGGAATAGATTTATGGGAGTTGTGAAACAGTGGAAGCATACATCTCAGAGGAATAAATCCCTTCAACCAGTAGAGCCAAACTCAATAAAATGCCCTGCATTGGCAAACAGAGACCAGGTTCATTATGTAGCCCTGTCAATCCTCATCAATCATTCCGAAGAGCTTGAAAGATGAAGATTAATCTAGGCTTTGGGGGGCTTGAAGATTGGCTCAACAGGTAAAGGCACTTGCCGTGCAAGCCTGACAACCTCAGTTCAATCCCCAGAATTCATGTAAAGATGGATGAAGAAAACCAGCTCCACAAAGTTGTTCTCTCATACTACATATGTGTCATGGCATATGTGCTCCCTCAACTCCCGATATCATTAACACACACAGGACAATAATAAATCTTATAAACTTAAAGGCCTGTTTGAGTCCATGTATCAGCTCTTCCCAGCTTTCCTGGTCTTCTCCATACTCCTGTAGCACACCATCTTTTTTTCTGTTTGGTTACCAAGACTCTTGTTAGTAATAGAGACCATTAGGTGACAACTTTGATGAGTTGCAAATATTCTCATGTTTTGAGTCTATCCAAAGAGATCTTTCTTAGGTATATTGGTCCCCACTCTTTTTTTTTTTTTTTTTTTAACAATGGAAAATGGCCCCTGAGTTTGAGTATGTTGAAGTTTGGGTGTTTAGATTGCAGGTTAGTAGAAATACATGTCCACTGTAGATGGGAACATTCTATTTGGAACATTTTGAAATCTTGGGAACTGTTTACTCCTATTGTGCATTACAATTTCATTAAAAGTCCTGAATTTAGGAGAGGAACTTGATCACAGGCTTTCAAATCTTTTGTCAGAAGTGTGCCTTCCCTGCATGCTTGAGTGGAAGATGCCAGTTCTTCATTTAAGGTTATTCTGTACATAAAGATTGAGCAACAGAGATCATCAAGTGCCAATCTGTCTCTATGCACACAGGGAAGACACACACTGAGAACTTTCAACCAATGCATGCATTATCATTTTACATACTGCTGAATTGGAATGCTAATAGTCTGCTTAGAAATTTTTGCATCTATTCTCATGTTTGTGATTGGTCAGTATTTCTTTTGTCTGATTTTAGCCAGGTTTTAGAGTTAAGTTCAGCTTCACAGAACCCTTTAGTAGTACATTCTGGTGTAATTCTCTAGAATAAATTGCAAAACAGTAGTGGTATTCCTCTTACTCTTCACCAATAATATCACCAAGACTTGGAATTGGTTATTAGAAAGTTTTAAATGGGTGATGATTGGCATACTTGCCTGTAAATATAGGAATACGTATTTAACATATAGTAAGAAATAATGTAAGTCTAGGGATGTGACACACTTAGGGTTTTCTCTAAGATCTATGATCTTTCCAGCCATGTGTATTTGGCTATGTTTACAGTGTACAGTGCCACACATGAGTTCCCTCCCATTGGGCAGGCGTCAAGTCCAATTAGGGAGCTGTTGATTATGATTATTTCCAAAATAAAAGTGCCACTACTGCACCAATATAGTTTTCTGCGCAGGTTATTGTTGTGGTTATTAGGTTTTAAAGCTGGAGTTGGACCATTGATTGATTTTTCTCCCATAGCACCATATATAGTGCCTTTCAAAACTATGAGAGCTAGTCTTCAGGGAGAGGATCCCAGGTCAGTTTCAGCTCCATTGCCACAAGTCCTGTGTCCAAAATATGTCCTGTCTTCAGCAATAGGGTCTTACCTTCAAGTTCTGGAAGATAATAAAGGACTTTGGCAATAGCTTGTGTAATTTTGGTAGTATGTCAGTCACCACTTATCAAAGAAGCTTCTTTTGCAACAGATGGAGACTTTTAGAGAGTTCTACAACTGGTTAAACACAGAGAATAAGTGTCTGTGAGATGCTCAACTCTAAGTGACACATCTACAATGCAACCTGTACGCTTAAGGCCCATGGAACATAATAGAACAAGGGGTAGAGCGAGTACTAATGCATCGCTCAATGTTCATCAGCAAAGCTTCCTTATGCAACAAAGTATGATGAACTCAAAAGGCCACAACTGGCCAAACTGTAGCAAATAAGAGTTGTCAGAGTGTGGATCCTTGGATAGGGTTTCTGTATTAAACTTCACCCACCTAGGGTTCAGGGACTGTTGCAGAAGAAAGGGCACAAAATTATAAGGTCCAGGGGAGGAGTTGCATGACCATAAGAAAACAGAGTCCTACAGTCTCCTGGGACCTTGCTCATATGAGCTTACAGCAGTGGTGTTAGCATGCACAAGACCCATACAAACTCAGACAAATCCCAGCATAGAACTGGGGAAATGGGCAGTAGGCCCCATCCTTAGCTGAATTAATGCTGAGTGGAGGAGAGCTGATCTTTAAGCAAGACTCTATATGGACTGACTAGACCCCAATGGAAGGACTTGCACTGAGGGCTATATAGGTACAGTGACTTTACTAGAGAGGCCTTAACATATATGACAGATTGTATAATATCTGATATGTGTGTTGGGGGCGGGGGAGGCTGTACGGGATTGCAGATGAGGGAAGGGATATAAAGATGATTAAGATGTTTTGTATGAAATGCACAAAAATTCGTTAAAAATACACTTTAAGAAAAGAAAGTTTTAAATGACACATTTCTATCTATGAGACGAAGAACTCCAGATTTTCTTGGTTCCTTTTCCTCCTTGTGTTAATTTCATTAAGCCCATGTTTATGAATTTGTCAGAATTATATAAATTATAAAATATATTGATAATAGTGCATGTAGGCTTTATACTAATCTTCTTTTCATTCTGTTATTTAATTCCAAGTTTTTGTATTGATTAATCTTCCTCTGGTCTATCAACTTTACCAAAAATAAAGAACCAGCGTACGGCTTGGCTGAGCCTCTCTATTTTAGATTTGTGTTCTATTTCATTAAACTCTGATCTTGTTACTATTTCCTTTCTTCTCCTTTCCTATGTTTAATTTGTTTACTTTTTCTAATTTCTTGAAATGCATATGTAAATCATTGACATTCATGCTTCCTTTTAAAAAACAAACTCAATTAAGGTTACAAATTTCCTCTAAAAATGCCATCAGCATCAGAGCATGAATTTTGACACGCAGTGTTTTCATTACCACTGTTTCAAATAGGGTCCTCCATTTTCTCTCTACTTCATGCCACACACAAGCATACAATGATTATCTAGTTATCTGTTTATCTTTCTGGCTAAGTCCTGTCACAGTGAGAGGGATGCACTGCATTGTTTTGCTGTGTGGTCACTGAGTACAGAATTCTAGATGATCTGCTTTGGTTAATGCTGTTGAACATGGAATTCAAATTATCTGTGTTGATACTGAATTTTTCTCTCTCTCAGCAGTTACTAAAAAAGAATTGCTCAATTTCTTTTTTTCTTTCCTCTTTTACTTTGTTTTAGATATTGTCACATGATATTAATAGATGCAGTCCTTTGCAGAGCTACTCCATCTTCCTGGTAAGGTGATCTCAATTGTCATCATGAAACGGCTGTCCACTTTTAATCATAGTTGTGTGTCCGGCCTTACCTTATGCTTCATCTATAGATATTTTGTTTTCTGATAGCAGCACTATGAGTGTGCTCTTGTGTATATTTGTAACATGTACATTTATAATATTTATTTGGTTTATGTCATTCTATACATGCCTCCATTTTCATGAGCCACTTTAAATGCCCTGAAATTAGTTTACATGTTTGTATATTTTTTCTATAATTTCTAGAATTACAGAATTTATATGAGGCAATTACTACAGGCTATCTAAAATTTGAAAGCATTCTAAAAGTTGTAATAACATGAAGAAATGAGTTGTTAGAGTGAAAGAAGCTAGTCATGACTTTGCATTTCAACACCATGCTTGGATTGAGAATAAATTATCTTCTTTTCCATTTCTTACTACATGAATTTTACATCATCATCATAGCTTACACTTGTCCCATGCTCTAAGGGGGCAGGGGTAAATGTGTTGGAGGGACAAAGACATGCTTTTACATGTGGAGCAATCTATGTGACAATAATGCTGGAACTTGTACAACAAAATCCTTGATAGCATTAGTTATACATGTGGTAATAAAATATAAATGTAACCTGATGCCCATGCTCATTAACCAGAGAGATACAAAGGTATTCTTTGTCCCCCACTTCTTCTTCAAATGTCAAGGGCATCTATTAATTGTCAGGTGACCACTAGGAAGTTAGAAGTAACCACAATACAATGTCTAACCATGACAAACTCATTTAGCCTATGCTACTTAAGATAAGAGTCTAGAGCTATCTGTTAGTATTTGAGTCTTGCAATCATGGATCAAAAAAGCCAAAGAAAATAATCTGGTCTAGACTTTTAACCCAAGCATAATAGCTTATAATAATTGGGGTCCAGGATTCATAAATGTAGGTATGGTGTCACATGTGTGAAATCCCAGCCCTTGGGAAGTTGAGGCAGGAAGACCAGAAGTTTAAGATCATCTAAGCTACATAGTGAGCTTAAGGCCAGCCTGAGCTACATGAGACCCACCCACAAAAAAACAAAGGAAACATTCAACAAACACACAAAATAAAATTGATACGTATATCATGTGCAAATAAAATATCAAATGATTAGAAAGCCAAATATGAATGAGGAAACTAATTTTGGAAAGTGTTATAAGAGAACAGATTGCACACTTTATCTTGTTGGGAAGTTTAAAGTCCAGCAGCATTAATGTAGGCAACCATGGGAAGAAACAAACTCTCAAGAAACCTGTCAGACTGTAAATTTGACTGCAGTTTAGTGACTGCTACAGTTGTTTGTGCAGATACCCTACACCCTATGTGCTCGACAACCTATAGTTCCACGTTCCACCATTAGCAGCGTATGCAGGAAGAGACTAGCATTAGAACCATCCAAATACCCATCAATGGTAGGATACTCGGTAAATTATGGTGCAGTCACACAGTGGGATATTAGATAGTGATAAAAATAAAATGGAGCTATAAAGAACAAGGATTAGGTTTAAAAGTACAATATTAATTGCAAGTACAAAAGAAAATATACATCTTTACTTTTTCTATTAAAATACTTTTATTACTTCTTTGAGAAGTCCTACCCATAGCTAAATATATCTGTACTTCTGGAAGAAGTAGAAAAAAATGTGATTCTGAAGAGAAATTGGAGCGAAGGATGTTTCTGTAATGTTTGCAATGTTTTATGCCAACCTGAGGGGCCTTATGATTGATTACTTGCTTTAACATTATTTTATTTTTGTGGAAGTTGAGCTGTTAGCTTTGTGTATGCTAAGACCACTGAACCACATTCCTGGCCCATGGCTAGCTTCTCTTCCTTTCTGACTCAGTGTGGAGAATATCGCCTTTGGATTATTTCCCCTGGCTTCCCCATTGCCGTGTGGATCTACTTTGGGCAGTGTCCTTCTTACTGTTATGTGTGTCAAACTCCCAAACTAAGCATGAAGACCTTACGTTCTTACATATTTTTTATTTTGTATGTGAGGATGCATGTGGAGGACAGTGGCCAACCTCAGGAGTTGGCTCTCTCCTTCCATCATGTAGGTCTTGGGGCTTGAACTCTGATCATCAGCTTCGGAGGCCGGTACCTTTACCCCCTGAGCCATCTCTCTAGGTCTTAAAATTATTTTTAATGAGTGCATCTTGGACTTTTTCTCTTAGTAGAATATATTTCACACAAACATAACTTGAAATGCAAAGCACAGAAACTAGGTGTGCACTGGCCTCATAATCTCCATGCCCATCTGGACTTTTCCAACCATTTGAAATGGAAGAGTACAGTAGGGACCTTTGGCTATGGAGTCTGTCCAGGAACTTTGCATCACGGGCAGCCTGACCAGTCAGCAATGACAGAGAGGGAAAGCAGTATGTGCCCTGATCATAGTGGTGTGCACAGTTTCAACCAGCACAGAGCTCTGTGATCAACAGTGGAGACTTCTCAGTGCAGTTCTTGGAATGAATGACTATGTAAATGGAGCAGTCTGCTAGTGAACCATGCTTCCCCTGAAGCCCTCTGACTCACCTCAGAGCCTGCAAAACCAGTTGACCTCCCCAGATATGTCCCTCGCTAGAACTACAAATAAATATGAAGGATAGTACCTACGAAATAACTTTTTAATTGTGTGTGTGTGTGTGTGTGTGTGTGTGTGTGTGTGTGTGTACAAGTTTCTTTGACTCTGGGTAGATCTGTGTCACAGCTGTATGTGTAGCTTAGAGGAGAACCTCAATGTTGCTCCTAACCTTCCACATTGTCTAAGTCTCTTTACCCAGGAGCTTTCAAAGATTCTCCTGTCCCCATATTTTATCTTGCTGTAGAAATGCTGGTATTACAGATGTGCCCAACTGCATCATCTGACTTTATGTCCCCAAAGGGACCCCAATTCAGGCTCTCACTGTTGTGTGGCAATCTGAGCCATCTCCCCAACTCCTAAAATAACTTTAAAAATTATTTGTTAATTTGTGAAAACCAGGAGGAAACTGAGTCACATCCAGAAATGACTGCGTTCATCCACTGGGGTAGGCTCTATCTGGTGTTTTACGAGAACATTTTCTGATGATGCCTGCTGAATAGAAGCATCATGTAGACAGCCATGCCTTCTTTTCTGTTTCCACATATTTCTGATAGATTCCTGTAAAATAAGCAAGCTCTGTCTCCCTGCTTTCCACCTTTTGTCAATTACAGGTTCTCATTCAGAGTAAATGGCTCTCCATGGTAAGCAAATACATAATTAAGATTTATTTTGGTTCAGTGAAAATATGCCTTCTTTCTCAGAAGTCCCCTAGGCTAGGTTCAAAGTAGACAAGGTTAGGTATGGTGGATTTATCAGTAAATATAGCCCAATTTAAGAGGCATGCCTTCAAACCTATTAAAGATGGTGCTTATGTGATAGTCTGTGATGTCTTCTGCCCCAGGATTTTGGCAATCCATGCAGTTTACTTTAGCCTTGAAAGTGGATTTATGTGAGAGAAAAGGAAAGTGCTGAGATCTTTTTTTTTTTGGTCTAACATCCTCCCTTTGACCACATAATAGTCCAAAAACTCGCACAAGCAGTTCCATATGGAGAGGAGCGATGTCTAGCCAAAACAAGTTGTTCAGCTTATTAGCCTTGGGCTGAATTCGTTACTCAGAATATCTGGCATGGCTACCCCATTCAAGAAGGAGGGGTGCATGGCTACGTTTGCCTTTTCAGTCTCTTCCTTGAGTTTCAGACAAGAGTCCAAATGGTTAGTGAAGCCATGTGCTGGAGACCAGAGCCCGTGCTCAACCGTTTCCTCCGAACATTCAAGAAGGCTCCCACGAGCAACAACACAGATTTCTTTGCACTTTACTGACTACAGAGACAGGCACATCACGCAGTTTTCATTGTCATCTATTTTCACATTCCATCCTTCTTGGACAAGACTATCAAGTTGCTTTGGTGTGAATCTTGGCAGAAAACGTCTCCTCTCTGAAGAATGTGAAATACTGTGAACGGCAAAATAAATTGGCTTCCACTCTAAGCTCTGTTGTAGTGGAAATATAAGCTAGGGGAAGGAGAATTACAATATATTTTTAAGATCTGCTTAAGTTTAAATTAATTTTGTATAAGGAATGTAAAATTGCATTCAAATTTAAATGTAATGCCTTTTGAGGCTTCCCCCATAAGCAAGTAGGTTAATCTTTTGTCTGCAGTTCTAATTTAGACAACATGCAATTATTTTGTCTGCCAGTGTTTTATCATCCATATTCATAAAACAGCAGCTATGTCCATTAGGATTAATTTTCCCAACTCTTTCTTTTTGTGTACTTTCAAGCTTCTTCCTCCTTCCCTCCCTCCCTCCCTCCCTCCCTCCTCTCTTCTTTCCTTCCCTCTTTTCTTCTTTCCATTGTTCTTTACTCTTTTTCCTAAAAGATCACATTTATTCACTTTCAAATAAGCCTTAAGAGCATCTTTGAAACTATTTCTGAACAGTGTTAAAGATGTGTGACACAAGACTTCTTCATAAACATAGTTCTCAAAGAATGGCTTTTCACCAAAAATCTAGGTTACTCCATTTTCTAGCTCTGTTTTTTCCCCTAAAATTTTGATTGCCTGTCTTTTGAGAAGGATCTAGCAAATCCTTCTGATTCCTGTAGCTTTTAAAGTGCACCCAGCAGGAAAGCCACATGGAAGACTCCAGTGGAAGAGAATGTGTTAAACCGCATATGCAGAAATGTTGTGCACCATCCATCCAGCCCACCCAAACCCAGGAGACTAGATGACAAGTTCAGAAAGCAAGAAAGAGCACTTACAACCGCCCACAACACAGCTTATTTCGCTTGGTTGCAAAGCATTTGCATGGTATACAATTTGCCAATAATTACCCTGATATTTTGACGGGGCCTGGCTTGCATATTTGTAAATATTTGTGGTTGCTAAGTTACCAGCTATAGTTATTTGTGTTTATGCACCATGTCATTTTGTGGCAAAAAAGGAGA